CTAAACTATGGATTCTGGGCGACTCCAAATTCCATTATGCGGGCTAAGCGACAACCTGCTATTTGGCAATGGAACCAACTCTCCAACTAATTTCAAATGTTTGGATAATAACTTTGTCACTTGCGTGTTTTAGAAGATGATTTTCAATGAATATTATTTCTGCTGAATATTTATAAGAATCGAATGTATGCTCTAATTAATGTTTGTAAAATTTTAGTTTAATTCAATTCTAAATGTATGTCAAACATGGTTTGATAATTCATTTTATTTTTAAAGAATCGAATAAGACATACCAAACACAAGAATTCACTTCAATATTAATTCTACAAAGTAATTTATTTTAAAATGAAATGAAGTCTAGATTCATTTGGTACCAAACAGTATTTAAAAGTAAAAGTAAAAGACAATGAAAATCATAACCAGAACCAGAACGAGAACAATGTATGTGGTTTATGGTTGAAACTGAGGGGACGGGAACACAAAATAAGGACCAGGTAAATATTACAAATTTCAGACCAAGCATGTTTAGTCTAGTTTGGAACGTGTCGGATCGGGTAGAGCTCAAGTTCAAATATTGATTTTATGAATCAACTTGTACCAATAATTTGAGTTGTTGTGAGAGATTAATGTATAATAGATAATCACTTCCTTACAATTGGAGCCAACTATCATCTAAGGGGTCGTTTGGAAGTTGCGATTGTTAAATAGATGTATTGTTGAGAATGCATGTAGAATACAATGTTTGGTATGTGTGATTGTGTATGTCGCATATGTCGCATCAGCTAAAAGTTGTGACAAAACAATCTCAACTCAACTATCTCAACAATCACAACTAAAAGTTGAGATATAACAATCACTCAAAATGAGTGATAGTTTTTGTCACATCACATAATCAATCCATGTATTGTTTCTGCTAAAAAAACAATGCATTGTAAATAATACATGCATAATGACAATCTCAACAAAACTATCGCAACTTCCAAACTACCCCTAAAATGGATTTTTTTTACACTAAAACTTAAATTTCAATATGCATATATAACTTCCACACCATAAAACCAAGCAAATAATAAATGAGTGGAGTTCCTTTATCATTTGCTTAATTGGTGATGTTTAAATTCAACCTTTGTTATCATGATATTAAAGCTTTCATAGAGAGAGAATGAGAGTAGACATGGACAATGGATAGAGCCATTGGATAATTTGACCACATCCATTAGTAAATTAGACAAAAAAAAAAAGGTAAAGATGCACATCTAACTTATTTACATGATACTCGATGCCTAAATTGGCTTTAGTGGTGCCCTTCTTAAATTTCTCAAAGGTTAATTGTATTATGGTTATTTCTAGTGAAGACAAATAGGCTGGATGGCGAGGGTCGGGTACCTCAATATCTATTATTGTCTCGCAATAAGCACGATTTAGGTCGAGTAATACTCGGACGAGTACAGGACGGGGCAGGTCGCCCATCCTTATATGTTATTTGAACAAAAGAATGTTGATCTTCAATTCTTTTACAAGAAAACGAATAGAAAATACTTCATAAGTGAATCAGTAAAAGTAGCTAGCTATTTAGTATAAATAGTTGAAAGTTGGAGTCTTATCTGGAATAAAAATATGATTATAGAAAAGTATAAAAAAATGCAAGCAGATATTGATGAGAATTATGATAGAACAAGTCAAGAACTAAACAGAACACGACAGGGCAGGTCAAAAGTAATACTCATATATCGCCGCACACTATTACATATTGAATAATATCTACCCAACAGATCAACTCAAACGGATCCGATCAGAATTTGCCATCACTAGTTATTTCTCTCCCTGATGACCATAATTCCTTGATCGTTACTATTATTTTAGTTTTGACTTTGTTCTGCCCTGCCAATTACAATTAGCCCATAAAAAGGGATTTTTCCAATAATAGCACCTTTAAAAAAAATTACAAAACTATCACCCATCCGAAAAAATTGACAGAAATAGCACCAATTTTATTGGAACGCACCATAGGGGTGCGTTCCAAGCCAGGTCAGAATACGAAACGCACTAGGAAGGTGCGGTTTCAAGATTCTGCGGAACGGTCTTCAAGACCGTTGGATGGAGGAGCGATCGGAGGGCTGAACGCGCGCCAGCGGAGCGATCTGCGCCACGGATCGGGGAACGCATCCCCGAGATGCGGTCAAAGCTGGGGAAGCGCAAACCGCCTCGGGAGGGCGCGGTTTCTCTTTGGGAAAAATTACCCGACTGCCCCTGGAGGGTGCGGTCTATTGGGTATAAATACCCCCCCTTCCCCTCTCTTCACACCACAACCCATTCTTCCTTCTCTCTCTAGAATTTATCTCTCTAAACCCTCCCCTCCCAAAAGTCTAGGAAATAGTGGTCTGTTGGTTGCGGCTAAGTCCGATCTGCCATCAGAAAACATTTCTTAGGTTTTTTCCTCAAAACCCACCAAGCCGAACTGAATCTCTGTCCGAATTTGCCGAAAAAATGGTCGATTGGTGGCAAGGAGAGGGAGTTTATGTTGATGAATTTCAAGCGGTACGTACTCATTATTCTGGTTTAATTTTTGTTGTTGTTATAAGCTTTTTAATTAATCTATGTACTAACCTTGTTGTTATTTTCTCGTAGGTTGGGGAGGACGTGGATATATACAACCAACGGTATTATCTCGAGCAAGGACCGTTGGATCCAACTGACTTGTACGACCAACCAAACCATCGGTCAATGGATGTTTGGAACGCTCACCCGGTACATACAATTCTTTACCATTTGTCCTTCTTTTATTTTGTTAATGTATTTAGTGGAATATAAAATAAATTTATGTTGAATTTTTAATCGTGTTGGTTGTTTTCAATAATTTAATCAAATACATAGTGCCACTTACTTCGACTCTTTATAAAGAGATGCACGTCTAAGGAAATGGGATTTTAAGCGGTTATCATATCCTCCCATTCCCTGGGAAAATCGGGTATTAAGAGATCCTCAGATCCCCCCTTTTTCTGTCAAAAAGACTGTGTTTCTAAGAAGATGTATACCTCTTCTAAGAGTCTAACGAGTGTTGCTTTGTATGCGATTAAATTATTTAAAACAACCAATACGATTAGGTTTAATGATTGTAGTAGGGGACTGGTACACGGTCACGAGCCACCTTATCATCATTAGCTGAGTCTGACTCTGGTCCTGAATCATCAGCACCTTCAAGAGGGTCGGAGCTGTCTGCACTGACGTTGTTCTCTCCTTCTTCATCGGAGGGGTCACTGACTGGTGCTGGCAGGGCATCCTCCATCTGATCCAGCTCATGAAAGGCACCTTCATCAGCTCCATAATGGTAGTTGTGAAAACTACCGCTGCCTGAGTGGAAGTTGTACTGAGGTTGGTTGGGGAGGTCCGGTTGAACTTCTTCTTGGTATGACAGGAAAGATTGATGATGACCTTCACCTTGCTCTTGGTACTGAAAATATGAATGAGGATCATGGTAACTTTGGTAGGGATGATCGCCATATAATTCACCTCCACCATGGATACCAGATGTTTGACCGTATCCAGAATGACCTCCAACGCCTGCGACCGGCTCAGTGTAAATTAACATCTCGGCTTTGGAAAGATTGTTGGACCTCATGAATTCGAGCATGGCATCTACCTCATCCTGAGTGGTTATGAGATATTCCTCATGCCACAATGACCCACTTTCTCTGTTTCGATATCGGTACACCATACGATCAACTCTTCTCGTGCCATCCATGCAAGTAACGTTAGTGCACATTTGATGGAGGTCTTCAAGCAGCGGTCTGGTAGCGACCTTTATCTTCTGAAAATTGCCACCAACGTAGGTGACCCCCTTTCCGGTCTCTTCCGTGTAACCATTCCACCGTAAGCCAAGCGTGAACTTTTGGAATGCCATCTGCGATAAAACCGTAGTTCAGTTAATATCATAAAAATCAAAAATAAAAAATAACAATAAAAAGTAATATTAAATAAACTTACGAGTTAACGTTAATCGCAAAACTACTAAAGAAATATAGAGCTACAACAGAAAATTGAAAAGGGAGAAGGAGAGGTGTGAAGAGAAGTGGTTTTCCGGGAGGCCTTTTATAGGCAAAATCACTGATGAAATCCATGCAGGCCCATGCAGACCCACGTCTGTTACGGTTGTTATTCTGCATGGCTTGTCGGAAATTGATTGACCAAAACCGCACCTCCAAGGTGCGGTTTGTATGGCAAAATCGCACCTTGGGGGTGTGGTTTTGTTTGGGAGAAACAAACCGCACCTTCATTATGCGATTTTGATAGGTTAGGCCAAAACCGCACCTCGGCCAAGCGGTTTCTGTAGGTCAGACCTAAAACCACTTGGCCAAGATGCGATTTTGGTCCAGGAATATGGAACGCACCTTAGAGGTGCGGTTTATGTGTAAAACGCACCTCAAAGGTGCGGTCCATTAAAAATGATGCTATTAGTGTAAATTTTTTCGTATGGGTGTTATTTTTATAAAATTTTTTGTTAAAGGTGTTATTTCTGGAAAAATCTCGTGCATGCAATATAGGCGTGGGTAATCCAGAAACGCTCCCACTCCCACAAACAAGTCAGAACAGAAACATCTCAAAAAGGGAACCAGGTCCAGGAGTGAGTCAGAAGAAGACCAAATCTGACCAAGCCAGCCAATCCAATCCAATCCTCATTTTGCAATCTCCCTAAAATCCAAATCTTGGATCCAAGCCCAACGTCCCAAATCCAAAGGGCAACACCGTCATTTCCCTTCCCCAGGTTGGCTCTGGGTAAAACGAAAAGGTAGAGACGACCGGAGACCGCCTTCTTCAAAGGAAAAATCAGAAAACTCTTCTTCTTCTCCTTCTCCTTCTCCTTCTCCTTCTCCAGTCCCCTCCTGGTCAAAAGCAGTAAACGGTGGATGAAATTGCGTTTCCCCTCTTTCCTTCGGCACACGGAATTCCCACCCTTCCCCTTCCCTGTACTCTATATAAAGTAAACCCAAAATCCCCCAACAGACAAGAAACCCAAAAAACAAACGTTGTGAAAAGCAAGCAAAAAGGAGGAAAAAAACCAAACAAACGAACGATCATCGGCAAAAAAAAAAAAAAAGAGCAGAACTCCGGCCAAATATGTCCGTTGCGGTATCCAACTCCCCCATCTTCTCCCCGCCATCCTCCCTCTTCCTCAACCGGGCCGCCTCCTTCAACATCCCCAATTCCCCGGCGAATTTGACCCCGACAAGCCACTTCAAATCCGCCTGCCGCTCACCTTCTTCTTCTTCTTGCTCTCCTTCCTCTCCGCACTCCCCTTCTTTCCGGTCACGCCTCCAGAAGGCAGCGGCGGTGGGACCGGCACCGCCTATTCCTTCTTCCTCTTCTTCCCCTACCGTGTCCAAGAGGAAACGGCCGGCCAGGCTTGATATCCCCGTTTCCGCGATGGGATTCGGGGCGCCGGCCAATCCGGCTGCCGCCGCCGAACTGGCCGAGGTGGAGAGGGAAGGGGATGGGTACTCCGTTTTCTGCAAGAGAGGGAGGAGAGAAGCCATGGAGGATCGCTTCTCTGCCCTCGTCGGAGTTCAAGGAGATCCCAAACAGGTACCAATTCAATACGCCTCCCCCAATTTCACAATTCCGTAGCTATTCAACTCAATTAGGTTTTATTAATCGGATCGCTGTTTTCCGCAGGCTTTCTTCGGTGTTTTCGACGGGCACAGCGGGGCCAAGGCCGCGGAATTCGCGGCGGCGAACCTGGACAAGAACATATTCAAACGGCTCGCCGGAGAAGAAGAAGAAGAAACGGAGGACGCGATAAAGCAAGGGTATCTCGAAACGGATTCGCAGTTTCTGAAGCAGGAAGCCCGCGGCGGATCTTGCTGCGTCACCGCCCTGATCCGGAAAGGCAACCTGGTGGTCTCCAACGCTGGCGATTGCCGCGCGGTCGTCAGCAGAGGCGGCGTCGCGGAGGCGCTCACTTCCGACCACCGCCCCTCCAGGGAAGACGAAAGGCACCGAATCGAATCCACGGTAAGCAGCTAACATCTAAATCACATTGACATTAGGTTAAAATTGAAGAACTGGGGAAGGGAACTCAATTGAAATTATTATGTTTTTCAGGGAGGGTACGTCGATTTGGTCCGCGGAACTTGGCGAATTCAGGGGTCGCTGGCAGTGTCCAGGGGAATCGGAGACGGGCATCTGAAACAATGGGTGATTGCGGAGCCGGAGACGCGGATTCTGAGGATCCAGCCGGAGATCGAGTTCGTGATCTTGGCCTCTGATGGGTTGTGGGATAAGGTGAGCAATCAAGAAGCAGTGGATGTAGCAAAGGCTTTGATGGAATCGCAGCAGCCGCCATTGATGGCCTGTAAAAAGCTTGCTGAGCTCGCCGCCTCGAGAGGCTCTTCCGACGACATTAGCGTGTTGATTGTCCAGTTGGGCCGCTACATTTGAGCCCATTTCTTTAGTTGGGCTTAGCCTTTTTATTCTTTCTTCTTTTCCCCACCAACAATTATTATTGGGGGCTTTTTTATTTAGGCTCGAAATTGTTAGGCTGATTCGTTTAATCCCATTCTTTTATTCATTATTAATCTCACACCTCTGTTCTAATTTGTAAATGATGATCGATATTTGATGGCTACTACATCCATAATGAAATGAATTACTCAGTGCCAAAACAATTTTTTCGTTTCCGCATTCAATTTATCGATGCATGGTCCCAATGACACATGAATCGAGAAATTATCCAACTTCATAAGAGATTGTTACACCAGAAGAATACATGTGTTCGACCCATCATCGTTCGTCAACGAACTCCATGTTTATATATGATTAGGGATCAACCTTGAACATATGCAACTTGGTACAAGGAGAAGCAACAGTTACCTCTTGTAACTCTTACTATTTTTACAAGTACTGAATGTAGCCATTAGCTAGAAGTAGGGGTGCGTACTTAACAAAAATGAGAGCAATTTTTTAGTTGTGGGGAGAAAACTGAGAGAAGCGGGCGGAAAGAGTAGAGTTATAGGCTCTGAAGTAGTTTGAGGGTTTCATCAATGTGCTTCTCTGGTTGGAACTGGTTGTTGTAGATCAGCTGCACCACTCCCTGCTTGTCAAGAACATATGTCTGTCTCCCCGGTAGTGCTCCAAAAAGATCGGAAGGGATCCCCCATTCTTTCCTTACTTTGTTACCCTCATCGCTCAGCAACGTAAAGGGGAGCCTATACTTCTTAGCAAATGACTGCAGAAAAGGAAAAAAACGAACGTTAAGAGCCAAGAGAAGAACAAAGCAAAGAGAGACACCTCAGGCGTCGCTACATAATGTGTACTGCAGTTCATGAATTGTAATGCCAAACTATCTGCAGAAGTTTATCAGAGTCTGAAAGTTTAAACAAAGGTGCCCAAATCTATGATTAACAAAAGACAAGCTCCTGGTGATGAGCCTAATTTCACTCCCTTTCTGAGCTCACTGGGCGGACTGATTCCATGATAAAGGCAAAGTTCACAAACAATCATGAATTCATCGTTCACCTAGGCTCACAAGTCACAGCCAAAAGAATTACAGCAGTAGTTGCTTTTCAGGAAAAGGGAAATCAAAATTAAGTGAGAGTTGATACCTTGTGTGAAGATGAATCATCGCCACTAATCCCAATGACCTCAGCTCCTGCTTTCTTAAACTTCTCATAAGAGTCCCTGAAAGCACACGCCTGCAAAAAACAAAGACTCTGGAAAATCAACTACATCCGAGAAGGAAAAACAAAGGATCTTGACGAGACTGAACTGCCAATAACTAATTCTTCCCAATAAGTCGGTTGCACCGAGGAGGCGAAGTATGAATCTTATACCAAAGAACTTGCTTATGAGTTTGAAATTTGCACAAGCTCGTAACTTGTGTTTGAATCAACTATTCTATTGGGAGATCACGAGGAGGAAACAAGACCTCTTACCATGTGAAAACAAAAGCTTATCTATCAGAATAATTCAAGTGATTGGAGATACTCAAAACATTAATCTTGTGTCATTCCCTTTCCATAAACTGCTTCCAATACCATCATGATCACTGTTTCTTTTGATTTTTCTTTACGCATCTGGAAGTTTACTAAAACCATAAATTAAGTTGTTCAAGGTAAGTGTGGTCGTTGCCCCTCCATTAACCAATCAAATGGCCTCTTCAAGCAATGAAGAGGGACAAAAGTAGTATTTCTATAAGTGACATTGTGTTCAAGAAACAGCATCACTGCGTAAGCTAGAGCTACTTGACCTCCAATTGCTTCTATGCCTTATATCTCAAGGTTGGAAAAGAATAAGGAGAAAGGAAAAGGGGTACCTGTTTGGTACAACTAGGGCTTTCATCGGCAGGGTAGAAATAGACAACAACAGGCTTGCCCTTGTACTTGGCGAGGCTCACAGCCTTGCCATCCTGATCTTTCAATGTGAAGTTGGGCGGAACCTGCCCTTTGTTCACCTGCCCTCGGAAATCAAAACCCACAAGGCGCAAATTTCAGACCAGCAAATCCCTTTTCAGTACAAGCCAGAAGCTGATTAGTTACAATAATGCAGGTGTACCTTGGCCACAATGGAAGTCTTGAAAGAAGAACGGTAAGGAACAGGAGCAGAACTAGCGGAGGCGGGCTTTGAGAAATTGAGCCCATGGAATTGGGAGTGAGAGGAACTGGAGAAACTTTGATGAGAAGCTGGGGTCCTGGGCTTGCTGGAAGAAGGGAGGAGCGAGGGAATGGAACGTTGTGTTCTAGTAGTCATGGATACGGTGGATGCCATTTTCAGTTTACGGAGTGCTGCTGCTGCAGGAAGAAACACAAGCAGAGGGGAGACGAGAAATGGAAGAACTGATGGAATCAAAGTAAAGCAAGCGGATATCTGTTTGATTCGGCTAACTGTCGTGGCCATTTCCTGACCCCAAAGGAGCTCTAATTAATTTGTTATTCTTTCGAGCGAAGACCATAAGAAATTACACGGCGGAATTCAACTTTATTTATTTGGGTTGAGCATCTAATTTATACATCTTGTTCTGCAATGTTTTCTTTATTGATAAATTTTGCAACTGAACATCTAAAAGGATGTTCTTTCCATTGAATGGTATTGTGAAAATGTACACTGTAAAACCCTTCTCTCCCTATAAGATAGCTAATCTAACAGTCAACCATACAATCACGTCTTTTCACTTGAGATTGTGTTCATCTTCTAGCATAATTGCCTCTTTTCACCAACGATAGGAATCAACGGAGGGTCTGCAGCAATACAGATTGTCCAATAAAGCTTTGAATGCTTCGCGATGCCAGTTGAGGATGTTTTCCTCACGATGTTGTTCAGATCTGACTTCCTCCAACCCTTTTTCTCTTAATCAGAGCCACATTCTTCCGGACGAAGCTGACAACTGACAGGAACACTGAAAAGAAAAAGAGAGGAGCACATTGAAAAAAGTGATATCATTGGACTTCGATGCTTGCATTTCTGAGAAAGAAAGACATAACCCAGATCGACTTAAAACATTTGAATTGAAAAAGGGGAAAAAAATATTGTAGTTCCCCGACGTCCTGATGCCACATTGAATTGAAAGCAATGGATAGCGAGGGGAACCTTCTTTCTGAGGCCTCTTCTCAGAGTGGACGATTCATATAATCGTTCTAGTCCACGTTCAAAACTAGCAAACAGAAGCCCATTTCAGAAGGAAAAAAAAAAAAGAAAAAGAATCGGAGTAAAACAAAAACTGCATTGGAATCAAGGTAGGAAGCGAAGAACTCAGTCCCTTAGATGTTCAAAAGAACTGCGATCATGCCCGCATAGTCATTACAGGTCTGTATTGACTCATCATCGTTCGTTCGACCTCCACCACGATTCCAAAACCATTAAAACACACAGCACAAAGACGAAAAACCAAAATAGCTGAAGCGGATGAAACCCAAATAGAGAGGATAGAGGAAGACAACGCTAAACCCAATAATTGAGATGATTTTTTAATCCTAAGTAGGAAAGAAGGCTAGAACCCTAACTCCAACTTGCGAAGGGAGGAGGAATGATGGATAGTGGGAGAGACGACCTGGTTGTTTTGTGCTGAGCCTATTTTGAGGTTTTTATAGGGAGGGAGGCAAACCCTAGCATCTTCTAGGGCTGCAGGCTACAGGCTAATCTTGGGCTTTATCCATGGGTTGAGTTTCTCTAGCCCAGCTAATTGTATGGGCCTCTGTGTTTTTATTTTTTACAATTAGCTGGACCCATCACGCGAACTATGTACTCGAGTTTAACGGGCTACGTGGACTGCTTCTCCATGAGGAAGCTTGACATTCAACAAGACTCTTGCTTGGCTTTATTGTATGCGACGACGTATCCTATCCTCAAATGATGGAATCAAGGTTTGTTTTACTCCAAGAAGCAACAACAAAAGCGCAGATTGGGTGGCCAGAGAATCAGAAAGAGAAACTCTTCCTACTCAATGGATCCATATTCTTGATTTAATCTCACCTCTTCTGTAATAGGCTCCGCTTGTATCAACATCGATTATGAATGAAATGCAATTTATTGTAAAAAAAAGAAAACAAGACTCTTCATTTTATTTTTTATTTCTCATGCATTAAAGTCACTGTGGTTCTGATGGTTTTCATCTTTGTGTGGTGGCTTTGACACAATATATATGCACACTCCACTCCTTGCTTATTAGGCCAATCTTTAAAAGGTTTTGCGATATCTTCTCAAGATTTCTTCTCATGATATTTGATTTTCCCGCTTCACCACTCATTCATTCACTCACCTGATTCATCGATGTTAATTGAAGTAGCGATCTCATTGATGGCCGCTATGCATTGGCTACACGGTTTGTTATGGTGGCAATCTTATCTCTTGGTTTAGTTCCAAACAATGGGTCGTTTCTTACTCCTCCACAAAAGCCGAGTACCATTCCCTCACTGTCACTGCTCGTAAATTTTTTTCCGTTTCAAATTTCAATCATTACTTCTTGAAATTGTTCTTCCTTCCCATGTCCTACACACCCTTTTGCGTGATAATGTTGATTCCAACAAATCAAGCTTGGAGAACCGGATTTTGGAGAAACCAACATGCATTTCTCCATGGAGATTTCTTCTTCTTTGTTTGCTTCCGAACTAATCCTTTTTGTTGTTTGGATGTGATGATCAACCCCAACTAGTCATGTATCTTTGGTTTGTTTACGTCTTATATGCCCTTAAATGATCTCTCGATTAACAAAAATTATGTGATCACTGATCTCGTTTCTTTATTTTATTTTTCGATAAATGTTGTTCTTTTATTAGGCTCTAGCTTTGATCAAGCTCCTTCGAAACTGTGTCCAAAACAGCTAGCTACAAAATACACATTATGAACTACTTAATTACAACTGTCTCTCACGTATTACCTAATAACAAAAAAGAAAAAAAATGCAATCTATGCAATCCTTGTATAAAAACAAACCTCATGCTTCCAACTCAACTGCAAATGCAGTGTTACCTAGACAGCTACCTGCTGCTACGTACATCCACTCTCCATCAACATTACGATTTCTTTTCTTCTTCTTTAAACCAACCTAACGTCCATTTTTCACGTGGTATAGATATCAGTAATGAAATACCCAATAATTCCAACGTTGCTTTCTCCATCGGTCGGCCTTTCTTTTTGCTTAGACCGACGGCGACGGAGATAAGCCATGAAGCGCTGGGACACGTGGTGGAGGTATGACTTGTTGGCTTGCAGATGGTAAACGCTCTGGACATGAAATATTAAAATATTATCATCATTATTATTATTATGAGATTATTGGGCTGTTGGCGGATATTGCATTCACCTGTCTTGTTTAGCCAGTGAGCTAGTTAGTTTTTCTTTAGCCAACTGTCATCCTCCACGTGTCGTGCTCCATCCTTTTTTTATCCGATTCGGCCATGGAACAGGATAAGCTCGTCCTACCCAGAAAGGTTATGATGGTCGTTAGTCTTTCTTTACACTTTCTTTAATCTTTAATTAATGGGGGAAAATCGGAAACAAGATCCGTAGCTAATCTATGGCGTGCTGCGTATGTCTGCAGATCCTACAATATCCCTTTGTCCAATTGTCCCGAATTCAGCAATGTGGCATAATCAATTATTTTTGCCTATTATCTCTCTCAAATGTATGCTATGAATCCATCCTCCAGGTAGAATTTTGTATACAATTAATTATTTATTCCATATAAAAAATCTCAATATCAAAGTTTGAACCCAAATCTCTTCAAACAAAAACAACAATCACAACCAATTACACTAAATAAATTTGTTGTATCTTTTTTAATACAAAACATACACGAAGTTAAACTCTGAAAATTCGAGAACTTTTTCATCATAATTAGCAATCCCACTAAGTCTACCGTATGTGTTTTATGGTATCTGATACTTCAATTTTCATACTTGAGTTTCATGTAATGTTCTCAGTTTTAAAATTCATGCTCTCTCGTTTATTTTTGCTAAAGGTAAATTTGTAATTGGCTAACATGGAAGACAATTATTATGTTACTACGTATTGTGTCCTTACCATTTTCAATTTAAATTTCAACTATGATATCAATCCATGGTAAATAGAATGGAGTTCAATAAATGAAGTTGTAAAAGGAGGGTTATAAAATTGAATTTTTGGTTGAAACATATGCCTCTTGAGATTGAATATAGAGTGGGTAAATTTTGGTTGTACAACGGAGAGTGGTGGTTATTGGATCTTTAGGTTTATGGATTTTGGAACTATCTCAACCTATTTCTATCTTAAAACGAGGAAATATTGATTGATTTACTAAAGTAGGCAGATTCTTTATTCAACCTACTAAAACTGATAGATAACGAGTGTCTAATTTTGTAACTTATTACTTTGATAGTCTATTAGTATATTAGAGGTAGCTCTAATTTTGTCGTTTGCTCTCAAGTTTTGATGGTCTACTCTTAGGTGAGTTGTTAGTATATAGTTGACTTGAATTAACAACACTACATTTCCTTTTGATTAGTGGCATATTGTTCCTAAAAGGAGAGCATTGAACCCTTTATGTAGGATTGTGAGGTTTAGTTTAAACTATCTATGGGTCGTGTGGGAAAGGCTAAGATCAGGTGACTAAGGGGGAGGGTCCCTTAGTCACATGACTAAACCAATTTTAGCCATTGAACCTCATTAAAATATAATGGTTCAGATTTATCTAGTTTAATGAAGGGTAAGATGGTAATTATATTATTTATTTATCAATTAAACAAAATATATAAAAAACATTGCCTTGTCCCTCCGCCCTTCCGCCGTGGGAATTGTACCGGCGGCGGAGATTTTTTGTGTCACAACCCATGTCATATTTGTGCCCTGCCTAGAGAGAGAGATTTCCGGTGGATTTTCCTGCGACGGTGGAGGAGTCTGACGAGCAGAGCTGGCAGAGACGGATTTTCTAGCCACAGTTCTGGATTCGTGATGTTTGTCGACCTATTTTGTAATGTTTATAAGTCCAGTTTATAATGTTTATATCAATTCGGTTTGTATTGTTTATCATTCTAGTTGGTTATTTTTGTCTATTGTGTTTGTAATGTTTACATGACTAATTTGTATATATTTTGATTATAATATTTGTTGCTCTAGTTTGTATACTTTTATGTTATAATTTGTATACTTTGTATTCATTGATTTGTAATGCAATTTTACCAATGTGTATTGTAAGTAGTGTTATTATGTAATGTTAGTATGCTTTATAATATTTTTCGGTTTCTTCTGTAATGTTTGTATGTTTTTTTGCTTTTTGTAATGTTTGTTGGTTTCTT